CTCCCAAATCTCCCAAGAATCTACCAAGTCTCCTACGTCTCCCAAGTCTCCTAAGAGTGTCCCAAATCTGCCAAGAGTCTCCGAAGTCTCTTACGTATCCCAAGTTTCCTAGGTCTTTCAAGTTTCCTAAGAGTCTCCCAAATCTCCCAAGAGTCTCCCAAGTCTCTTACATCTCTCAAGTCTTCTAAGAGTGTCCCAAATCTGCCAAGAGTCTCCCAAATCTCTTACGTCTCCTAAGAGTCTCCCAAGTCTCTTACGTCTCCCAAGTCTTCGAAGAGTCTCCCAAATCTCTTACGTCTCCCAAGTCTTCGAAGAGTCTCCCAAATCTCTTACGTCTCCTAAGAGTCTCCCAAGAGTCTTCCAAGTCTCCTAAGAGTCTCCCAAATCTCCCAAGAGTCTCCGAAGTCTCTTACATCTCTCAAGTCTCCTAAGAGTGTCCCTAATTTGCCAAGAGTCTTCCAAATCTCTTACGTCTCCTAAGAGTCTCCCAAGTCTTTTACGTCTCCCAAGTTTCCTAGGTCTCTCAAGTCTCTTACGTCTCCCAAGTCTTCGAAGAGTCTCCCAAATCTCTTACGTCTCCCAAGTTTCCTAGGTCTCTCAAGTCTCTTAAGAGTCTCTCAAGTCTCCCAAGAATCTACCAAGTCTCTTAAGAGTCTCCCAAGTCTCTAACGTCTCCCAAGTGTCCTAAGAGTGTGCCAAATCTGCCAAGGGTCTACCAAGTCTGTTGACTCCTACACGTACCATACCGATTCTCAAGGAATCGTCTAAGCGAGGAGTAATCCCGAATCGATTGCGCGGTTGGTCGATAATCGCGTTGAATCTGGTCACACTGATCTACGAATGCATATTCCCGTCACCTGAAATGGGCTGCTTCGCCGGGGAACCGTACCCCGCCGGGACTTGGGTCGGGATACCGTAGCCGGCCATCGGTCCACCAGGCATTACAGGCTGCCCGGTGGCTGGCATATTGGCGGCCATATCGAACATGCCGAAACCCTGTTGCGGAGGTTGCTGTGCTTGTTGCGCGGCTGGTTGTTGTTGAGCGACGGGTGCCGGTCGTGACGGAGACCCGCCCAGTGCCATGCGAATGCTATCGTTCAGATCGTCGAACGCGCTCTTGCTGGGAGCGGCGGCCGATCCCCCGGGTGTCCCTGTACCCGGTTTCCCAGTCGCCGCTCCGTGAACAGTCGGAGACGACGGTCTCGGTGTACCGTTCGTCGCTGTCGCGGGAGGCGGGGGTCTGGGAGGCGGCGTGGCAGTGGACTTACCGGAGGCAAGGGCCGCAGAGGACGCCGTCTCCCCGGCGACGTCCCCAGCGGCTCCCTCCGCGGTGCTGAGCACTGCTGAGTCGCTCCCAAAGAGATCTGCCTGGCCGCCGGCACTGAACAGGTCTCCGGTCTGCGATTGCTGTTGGCCGTCAGCGGCGGCTCCACCGGCCGCGGCACCCTGCTCGAAGAGACCGAAAGCGGCTGCGTTTGACTGCGGTGGCTGGGAACCGAGGGAGGGGAAGTCGGACATAAAGGGGTTCGGTACGGATCCGGCCGTTCCTGGAGCACCAGCTTGCGCAGAAATCAAGGTGCATCGATTAGCCGTAGGCTGGTTAATTGCGTCGGGGGATGATGGGGTATATATCATTTCTTTGGGTTTACTGTCGTGTGACGTGCGAGATGGGGATGATGACTGTTGCGACCACGTGGATATGAATGTTAACAAACATCGTTGCTATTCACGCTGATCAACCCTCGGCTACACCCGGGATCAACCCTCCTTTTATGGCGATTTTTGTTGTTGTGGATATCGATGAAATTCTAACGAACCTGTTCACCGACAGGAAATTTGAACAAAATCGTAACTCTGGATCGGATGAACGGATCTCGATGATCGAAACGGGAAACTGCGTGTCCTTAGGCGAAGAATTTGTGAAAAATATCAAACATTTGAAAGGTTTCATACTTTAGTTGATTTTCGTGGGAGAAATGTGTAGGAACGCACATAACCTTCAAAAATTCATAACACTTTCGATAATGAACAATTTGAATTGAAACTTTTTTTCCTGGTAGACCTTATGGAACCCTACGAGAAACGTACAGAAAGTTTTTCTCTGAAGTGAAAACTGAATTTTTTAAAAATAGAAGAAGGTTTCATTTGAGAATTCCCAAGGGTGCCCTCGTCAATTTTGGTCGAGATCTGAAACAGTCTATAAAAATTATTTTTCATTCGCTTGCTCAAAATGAAGCACTTTATGTTGAATAACATATAGCCGCAACTTGCATCGTTCGCGAGAAAAAAAATTTCACGATACATTCTTATAACGTGAAAGTCTCCAGGATGCATTTCCATATAACCACGTAGAGAAAGTACGACGTTCAGCAGTATCGAAAGTCTCGTTGGTCCCCTCTTGTACACGCGAAGTAACCGAGGGTTGATTCTCATAGCGTGAAACCCTCCGGAGAGACCGTTTAGCAACGATGTCAGCTTCTCAGTGCTTCGGTACCCGAATAAAATAACGCTCGACGAGTTAACAAAGTCCCATACCACGAACCACACAAACGATTAACAAAGTTCTGCAACTAATTCACGACATGAATATTCCCCACTTTGGGTAATCGGTGTCGGAACTATGGGAGAAACTCGTGACGAATGCAATCTGTTCCCGGTTAGTTTACGTATATGCTCGAGAGGAATGTTATCGCGGCATTCCTACCGATAGCGTCCAAGTGTGGATTAACTTGCACAGGCATCGTCTCTATGTCTAGACAATTTAGTAAGATGCAGATACACGATAACAAAAATAGTTTAAGCGAAGTGGATGTAAAGAGTCGTGTATATGTACAATGTTAACAATGTGGAGACAGAAAGAGACGGTGCAGAATTTTCATGGAGAAGTGCGGTATAGTTATAAACAATTCTTATTCCCATAGAGAAAGGGACGGTAGACGAGTCGGGAGCACTCACCAGGTTGGGAGTCTTGGTTACCGAATACGGACGAGAAACTGTTATCTGTAACAAAATTATTATTTGCTGGGGGCGCTGCTGCGAAACCTACAAATCAAAAAATAAAAAAGGTACCAATGAAATCAAAGAGAAATACCGAAGACCGTGGTTAACACGTTCACCGCCGGACCTGATACACTCTTGAAAATGTTTCGCGTGAAAATTGACGACTACATGAAATTGAACTTCATTTTTAAATCGGTCATGAACTCATGCCATCCGTCGTACGCAGTATTTTTCTCAAACTACATGAAATTTCATCGATTCTGTTTAAATTCATTTCCTTTGATGCTTTCAAAACGAATTTTACTTTTCTTCATCGGTGAAAAGAACACTGTCACTGGTATACAGCCTGGCGGTCAACGTGTTAGTAGAAAATAATGAAACGAACGAGAAACGATCAAACGTTTACGTAATACTTGTATTTACCGTTACCGTTAGTCATCCACATGTTGTTCTGCGCTTGTGCGGTTTGAGCAGGTGCAGGCTGCGAGCCGCCAAACATATCCGCGAAGGGATTGCCCGCCAGCTGAAGCAGGTCATCGGACGCTCTCTGCGACTAAAAACGACGGAAGGAATTTATAGTCAGCTGCGTCGAGTCTACGCTACGAAGAAAGATCTATGTATACCTGGTTGTCAGCTGTCGCTGATGGCGCTCCGAACAAATCCACGATCGGCTGATCCGCATTGTTCGTTGGAGAACTGAGGAATGGATTTGTGCTCGGCCCTGTCGACGGAGATTGCACTTTTGCCTGGAAACACACGGTTACGTTAGAGAACCAAGGTTATAATTAGGAGATAGAAGACGGCTGTTAGGAGATGTAAACAATTACACATTTACTGTGTATACGTGTTTCTTTTACTTGACAGTTTGAAAGTCAGGACAAACGACCAGTTTAACGCGTCGACTCGATGATACTTGGGACTAGTGATGGGCGAAACCCTGGGCTTCGAATAAATCTGTAGGTTGCTGATAACTCTATCTCCTTTCCTCTTTTCCGAAGAAGGAAACGAGACAAACATATCAACAAACTTCAGATTTATTCGAAGCCTAGGGTTTTGCCCATCTATGCTTGGGACGCTACAGACGCGGAGTTTAACGCGTTAACTCCCTAACACTTGGTACAGAATATGCGTGGAGTTTCACGCGTTAATTTGGTAACGCTTGGTACAAGAATATGCGTGGAATTTAACGCGTCAACTCCCTAACACTTGGTACAGAATATGCGTAGAGTTTAACGCGTTAATTTGGTAACGCTTGGTACAAGATGTGTGGAGTCTAACGCGTCAACTCCCTAA